GATCTCGCCCAGCACCGGCGCCTGCAGCCGGCTGCTCAGCCCGCCCGACAGCGACGACGCGCCGTTGCCGCGGCCGGCCAGGGCGGGCTCGCTCCCGCGCGGAGCTGCAGCCGGCTGCTGGGGCGGCTCCTCCGCCGCTGCGTCGTTGCCGGCCGTCTCGCGGGTTGGCCGGGGCTGCAGCACCTTTGGGACGTGTCTCGGACATGTCGTGGACGTGTCCCGGACATGTCGTGGACGTGTCGTCGGGGGAGAGAGACGTGGCAGACGTGGTCGGCGAGACATGTCTCGGAAGTGTCTCGGAAGTGCCTCTGTGGTGTCTCGGAGGTGTCTCGGAAGAGTCTCTGAGGTTTCTCGAAAGTGCCTCCAAAGTGCCTCTGAAGTGTCTCGGACGTGTCTCAGAAGTGTCTCAGAACTGTCTCCGAAGTGACTCGGAAATGTCTCTGAGATGTCCCGGGAGTGCCTCCGAAGTGTCTCAGAGGTGCCTCGGAAGTGCCTCGGAAGTGTCTCGGGAGTGTCTCGCACCGGCATCGACCCGTCGTGGTCGAGCGCGAGGTAGTAGCGGTCGCGCCGCGGCAGGCCGACGCCGGACAGAGGCCTACGGTGCTGCAAGACGCCGACATGAGGGCGGGAGGACGGTATTGTGCAGAGTAGTTGGAGCACTACTGTGTGAGTACGGGGGGGGGGTACGAATGCAGAGGATTCGGAGTACTGTGTGAGTAGGGGGGGCGAATGCAGTGAGTCCCGCTGGAATGTGGCCGAGTGCAGCGGCGTCCGTGTCCTCTCGCGCGCTGGTTGGAGTACAAGACTGCATCCTCCGCTTCCAGGGGCCGAGACGTGGGGGAGATACGGGGGGGAGATACGGGGAGATCTCCCGCTTCTAGGTAGGGGGGGAGAGAGGAGGGTAGCCTCCGCAGCGGAGGCTCCTCTCGCAGCGGCGCGCTGGGCACCGGCGAAGGCGAGCGGGAGGGCAAGCCGATCGAGCTTCGGAGGGAGAGGCGGCGCGGCGGGTGCAGGCTGCGCGGCGGTCGCAGCGGCGCCACGGCCTCCACCTAGCCCGGGAGGAGGGGGAGATAGCGCCGAGGTAGCGCCGAGGTAGCGCCGAGATAGCGCCGACATAGCGCCGAGGCAGAGCCGAGATAGCGAGTGGTAGCGCCGAGATGGAGCTGTCATAGAGCCGAGGTAGCGC